ACGCCCGGCCCAAATACACAGTTTCATACCTGGGCACTAATGCTAAGCTCAGGGAAAACACAGATGCTGCCACCACCATCACTACATTGGATGTATCCATCAGAGGAATTTGACAAAAGAAAGAAAACCCAATAGAAATAGTTAAAACTATTGCTATTTTCGTTATTGTATACCTGGAAAAGTCAAGATAAATTATTTAAAAAGTAAAATTAAAGCATACTGGAAGATGGTAGTATAAACACACACGCTTAAACATAAACAACAAGTCATCAGAATATATGACAAAAGAGAAGAACCCACTTAAACAATGGCCACAACACTCAGGGTTAAACTTCACAAAAGATGTTAAACATCTATGTGAGGCTGGGTGCAGGGTCCCACACCTGTAATCCCAGCACTTTAGGAAGCTGAGGCATGCAGATTGCTTGAGCCCAGGAGTTCATGACCAGCCTGGACAGCATGGTAAAACCCCATCTCTATAAACTGAGGTGGGAGGATCACTTGAGCCCTTAGGGGGAGGCTCCAGTGAGCCAAGATCGTGCCATCGCACCCCAGCCTGGGCAACAGAGCAAGACTCTGTCTCAAAATAAATAAAGCAATGCAGCCTTGTGGCTCATGCCTATAATCCTAGCATTTGGGAGGCCAAGGCGGGTGGATGGCCTGAACTCAGGAGATCGAGATCAGCCTGGGAACATGGCAAATGGGCAACATGGCAAAACCCTGTCTCTACTAAAAATACAAAAAAATTAGCCAGGTTTGGTCTTGCACACCTGTAATCCTAGCTACTCCGGAGGTTGAGGCAGGAGAATTGCTTGAACCTGAGAGGTGGAGGTTGCAGTGAGCCAAGATCACACCCCTGCACTCCAGCATGGGTGACGCAGCAAGCCTCTGTCTCAAAAAAGGAAAAAAAAAAAAGAAAGAAGAAAGTCAAAACAGAAGTGACAACCTGGGACCTCCTAAATGCAGCTCACATCACATAAGTCAAATTTTTCTAATATATAAAGAGCTCCCAGAAATCAAGAAGAAGATCAACATCCCAAAAGATAATGGGCCAAAAACAATTCACACACATACAGACTATGACCTCTAAACAAGTAACCAAGAGCAAGGATCTTTTTATAAGTAAGAGAAATGCAAATTGACATGCTCAGATAGCATCTCTCATTTATCTGATTAGCAAAAATCCAAAACACTTAACAGACACATTCTTTTGGCAAGGCTGTGAGCAAGCAGGCAACCGTTCATACACTGCCAGTGGGCATGCAAACCGTGCTCAGAGGCTGCAGAGGGCAATTTAACAACATCTATCAAAACTACATGGGTACGGACCCTTTCAGCATGCAATCTCACTCTGGGGCTTTATCCTACGATGAATGACTTTGCATGAGGTCACAGATTTGTTTGCAGTTGCAAAAGATTAGAAAGAACCCAAGGTCTTTCTTGAAGAGGCTGATTAAATAAACAATGACATAATGATAGCATGGACACGGGCAAAGACCAATGCTGCTTTTACTCATTGTCACCTCCCCTGCGGCCAGCACAGACCCTACCACATAGCAAGTGCTCAATACATATTTTTTGTATTTTGTTTTTTCTTTTTTTCCACCCCCAAGTCTCGTTCTGTTGCCCAGGCTAGAATGCAGTAGCATGATCTCAGCTCACTACAACCTCTACTTCCTGGGTTCAAGAGATTGTCCTGCCTCAGCCTCTTGAATAGCTGGGACTACAGACACACATCACCATGCCAGCTAATTTTTGTATTTTTAGTTTCACCATGTTGGCTGGGCTGGTCTCAAACTCCTGACCTCAAGTGATCCACCCACCTTGGCCTTCCAAAGTGCTAGGATTACAGGCATAAGCCACCATGCCTGGCAGACTCAATATGTATTTTTTGAAGGGATGAGTAAATGATACCAGTCTTGCCCACAAAGCCAGGATCATATGTGATAACTAATCCTGGGGAATGCCCTTTGCAAACTATAAACTCTATGCAGATGCAAGTTACAGCTGCCTCACCAACTGAAGGTACAAAAGTCACATGCCTTTAACTCTTCATGGTAAAGTACCTGACTACTTGCCAGTCCCAAGAGTGCCTTTCTTCCTTCCAGGAGGTCATCCCTCCCTCCCAGGGTCACTCTAGCTCTGCACAGGAGACTGGATCTGGCTGGGTGGGGCTGGCTTCCCAGGGGCAGAGCGAAAATTCCCAGAACCCCCGGCGGGTTTCAGAAAATACTAAGTCACCTTGAACCTGGGCTCCTACACCTTCACTCTGGATGGACACACACACACACGCACGCACGCACACACAGACACACATTTCGTGGAGATATCCTGTGGTGCCAGGCTGGCTGGATGGGGATAAGTTTTCTGGCTTGGTCATCTGCTATGCACAGAGATCCCAGAGATGCAAGTGGCAGGGAATGCTCTTCAGGGTCATCTTGCCTGGCAAACGCAATGCCCATAGAAAGGGCATCTAGAAACTTCAGCCTGAGTTATAAGAGTCCTGATTTAATTCTCTTTGAAAGAAAGTTCCCATGTTGCTTCGCTTTCACCTGTTTTACTGTCTTTTTTTTGTTTTTTGTTTTGTTTTGTTTTGTTTTACTGTCTTAAAGATTAAAAATAACAAGTAGCAAGGCCAGGTGTGGTGGCTCATGCCTATGTAATCCCAGCACTTTGGGAGGCCGAGGCGGGTGGATCACTTGACATCAGAAATTCGAGACCAGGCTGGCCAACATGGTGAAACCCCATCTCTAGTAAAAATACAAAAATTAGGCCGGGCAAGGTAGCTCAATCCTGTAATCCCAGCACTTTGGGAGGCCGAGGTGGGTGGATCACGAGGGAGGTCAAGAGATCGAGACCATCCTGACCAACATGGTGAAACCCCGTCTCTACTAAAAATACAAAAATTAGCTGGCCATGGTGGCCTGTGTCTGTAGTCCCAGCTACTCAGGAGGCTGAGGCAGGAGAATTGCCTGAACCTGAGAGGCGGAGGTTGCAGTGAGCTGAGATTGTGCCACTGCACTCCAGCCTGGTGCCTGGTGACAGAGTAAGACTCTGTCTCAAAAAAAATAAAAATACAAATACAAAAATTAGCTGGGTGTGGTGGTGGATGCCTGTAATCCCAGCTACCTGGGAGGCTGAGGCAGGAGAATCCCTTGAACCCAGGAGGCAGAGGTTGCAGTGAGCTAAGATCACGCCACTGCACTCCAGCCTGGGTGACAGAGTGAGACTCTGTCTCAAACAAACAAACAAAAAGTAGCAAAAGAGAGTGCTCATCCTCCCCCGACCCCAGCATCACCAGTACTGGGTGTTCTTATAATTAACCATCTTTGCTAACTGAATACAGCCTAAGAAGGGGCCTGTCTTCTCTCTTCTACATACCTGCTCTGCGGCCTTCCTCTCAATTCTGAGCCTCAATTCTTCATCTGTAAAATAAAGAGCTTAGAAAAGAGAACCTCTGAGGACCCTTCTAGATAGATCTTCCTAACCTGGTCTCTTGGCACCGCCTCTGCCCATTCCATCAGGAGCAGTCATCACTGGCCTCTCAGAGCGGCTCCGTGCCCCCTGCCCCGTCAGGTCAAGGCCAAGGGTGCAGAATATAGACAATGAAGTCAGGAGAGTGACAATTCACAGATAAGAGTTCCTGCTCAGCCTGGTGCAAGAAGTCATCCCGTAAGGAAACCGGACACGTCCCCAGCACTGCCCTTACTTAGCACCTCGACTGTCCTCCAACAAGGGCCTGGACGCTGATGCAGTGGTGCCCTGCTCCAAGGTCAGGGAATATACACAGCAGGGAAGAGATGGATAGTCTTTGGCTTCATGGAGCTGACATTCTAGTAGGGGAAAATTAGTGAAGAAATACATCAGGTGCTGGCTGGGCGTGGTGGCTCACGCCTGTAATCCCAGCCTCTCTGGGAGGCCGAGGAACTTTGGGACACCTGAGGTCAGGAGTTCAAGACCAGCCTGGCCAACATGGCGAAACCCTATCTTTACTAAAAATACAAAAAATTAGCCAGGCGTGGTGGCGGGCACCTATAATCCCAGCAACTCAGGAGGCTGAGGCAGGAGAATCGCTTCAGCCTGGGAGGCGGAGGTTGCAGTGAGCAGAGATCGGGCAATTGTACTCCAGCCTGGGCAACAAGAACAAAATGCTGTCTCAAAAAACAAAACAAAACAAGAAATACATCAGGTGGTGGCTGGGCGAGGTGGCTCACGCCTGTAATCTCAGGACTTTGGGAGGCTGAGGCAGGAGGATCTTGAGTCCAAGAGTTCAATACCAGCCTAGGCAAGGTAGGGAGACCTCATCTCTACAAAAAATAAAAATAAAACAATTAGCCTGGCATGGTAGTTCCAACTTCTCAGGAAGCTGAGGCGGGAGGATTATGTGAGCCGGGAGATTGTAGTGGGCAACAGGGCAAAACCCTGTCTCAAAAAAAAAAAAGAGAGAGAGAGAGAGCAGGCATGGTGGCTCCCTCCTGTAATTCCAGCATTTTGGAAGGCCGAGGTAGGAGCATCGCTTGAGCCCAGGAGTTCGAGACCAGCCTAGGCAACATAGCAAAATCCCGTTTCTTCAAGAAATATAAAAATTAGCACGCATGTGCTTGTAGTCACAGCTACTCGGGAGGCCGAGGTGGGAGGATGGTTTGAGCCCAGGAGACTGATTCGTCACTGCATACCAGCTTGGGCAACAGAGCAAGATCCTGTCAAAAAAAGGAAAGAAAGGAAGAAGGTGAAAGAGAGAGAAAGAAAAGAAATAAAGAAACATATCAGGTGGGCCAGGTGTGGTGGCTCATGCCTGTAATCCCATCACTTTGGGAGGATAAGGCGGGCAGATCACAAGGTCAGGAGTTCGAGACCCACCTGACCAACACGGAGAAACCCTGTCTCTACTAAAAATACAAAATTAGTTGGGCGTAGTGGCAAATGCCTGTAATTCCAGCTACTCGGGAGGGTGGGGCAGAAGATCGCTTAAACCTGGGAGGCGGAGGTTTCAGTGAGCTGAGATCGCACCACTGCACTGCTGCCTGGGCAACAAGAGTGAAGCATCTCAAGAAAAAAAAAAAAAAAGGAATAAAAGAACATGGTGGCTGAGAGGGTCTGGTAAGGTCAGGTAACAGTGTCTGGCACCTCATGTGGGCTCAGTGGATAGAGGCCCACCCCCAACTCAAGGGAAAGGAGCCAGTGATGGCCACAGACTGTTGGGGCTCTCTGGGTCCTGGGACAATGACTTTCAAACAGTGAAGGTGAAGAGAGACACTCTTCCTGTTTTGCCCTCATGTGCTGCCCACCTGGCTCCCCGTCTGCCAGCTCACACTCTGCACGGGCATGACCCCAGGAGGCTGTGGTGCTCCTGCTGGAGTAGGCTTGTGGTGGGCAAGAGTGTGGGCACAGGGGAGGGTATGTGGACACCCACCTGGAATGGAAGGGGGCTCCCCCAGTCCTGTGGCCAACTCTGTGCAGCTGGAAGCACCTGCACCCCCAGGATCTGTCCAGAGGGAAGACAAAGGCAGCAGATGGGAGAGAAAAGGACACTTTACTCAAAGAAGCGCCACTTCCTGATAACTACAAGACAGGGAGCTTCGGAGAAAAGAGAAGTCACCAAGGGCCTGTGGTAGGTATGTGGCCAGCCTGCTTTGAACCGGCCCTGCCTGGACTCACCCTGAGCCACACTGTCCCCTCCCGGCATAGTCCATCAGTGGGAGTGTTCATACTTGCTCCTTCCCAGGGAGGAAGCACCAAGGGACTGGAGCCCTCCCCTCTGCTGACTTTCCAGTTCCCTCTGGGGAGGATCAGAGCCAATTCACCAAGTGTTCCCCCAGCCCCTCCCTCTTGCCTCCTGTCCTCACCAGCTCAAAAGGTCCCTCGGGAGCAGCATTGCATCCTCCCACCTCCTCAGCCCTCAGGGACCTCAGCCTACTAACTTATCCCTCCTTCTCCTGGGCCTGAGCGAGCTGAGCTCTCTTCTGGCCTTCCTATCAGCTCATAAATGCAGCCAACTCTCCCTCGTCAGAAAGCACACTAAGTAAAATAAAAAAATTGCTCTTCCTCTCTCTCTCTCTCACTTACATACACACCCCCATACACACCCACGCACACACACACCCACAAATAAGAGCCAAATAATAAACTGGGGAATGATCTTTGTCACACAGAGACCAGACAAGGGTCAAAACCTTATTGATGAGCTCAAACCAATCAATAAGCAACACACAAAGTGCCTGGATGCCCATACTCTGACCCAGGAATTTCATTTCTAGGAAATACAAAGAAATATCTAGCTGGGTATACAAATATACAGCCATTCTAAAAGTTCATATGCACTGATGGCCAGGTTAATTACTTCCCAGGAAATAACTGGCAATGTACAAATGTATGTATAAATTCGATGTAACATTGTCTAAAAGAGCCAAATATATTTTTTAGAAGTAAAAAGAGATCCAAGAACTCAACATGATGTAGCAAAATGCAAGCATTGAAAAATATAAAAAATGTTTGAGAGATGAGGAATGCTCATGAAATTATACTAATGGAAAAATATTTTATATAGACAACATATTCAAATATGGAAAAACATATTTTATTAAGTTTTATTTTTTATTTATTTTGGAGATGGAGTCGCTCTGTCACCCAGGCTGGAATGCAGAGGCACTATCTCAGCTCACTGCAACCTCTGCCTCCTAGATTCAAGCAATTATCCCGCCTCAGCCTCCCCAGTAGCTGGGATTACAGGCACCCGCCACCACGCCCGGTTAATTTTTTGTATTTTTAGGGGTGGCAGGATTTTACCATATTGGCTAGGCTGGTCTCAAACTCCTGACTTCAAGTGATCTACCCACCTCAGCCTCCCAAAGTGCTGGGATTACACGCGTGAGTCACCTCGCCCCGCTGGAAAAACATGTTTTTTAAAAGTCTGGCAAAAAAAGGCAAATGTTAGCAATAGTTATCTACAAGTATGCAAACAGGAATGGTTTTTCCTACTTCTTTCAGCTAATTCATTCAAACAGCATTCAGGAAGCACCTGCTAGGTGCCAGGCCTGGCACTGGGCATTGGGATCTGGACAAGACTCCTTCCCTCCAGGAGCTTCCAATCTGAAGGGAAGGATGCAGTGAGCCAACGAAAATACAGGGTGGCCGGGCACGGTGGCTCATGCCTGTAATCCCAGCACTTTGGGAGGCCGAGGCAGGTGGATCACCTGAGGTCTGGAGTTTGAGACCAGCCTGGCCCACATGGCAAAACCCCATCTCTACTAAAAATACAAAAATTGGCCGGGGGCGGTGGCTCACGCCTGTAATCCTAGCACTTTGGGAGGCTGAGGTGGGTGGCTCATCTGAGGTCAGGAGTTCAAGACCAGCCTGCCCATCATGGTGAAACCCCATCTTAAAAAAAAAATACAAAAATTAGCTGGGCATGGTGGTATGTGCCTGTAATCCCAGCTACTAGCAGGGCTGAGGCAGGAGGATGGCTTGAACCTGGGAGGCGAAGATTGTGTGTCAATGCTCTACAGCCTGGGCAACAGAGTCAGACTGTCTCAAAAAAAAAAAAAAAAAAAGAGGCCGGGCGCGGTGGCTCAAGCCTGTAATCCCAGCACTTTGGGAGGCCGAGGCGGGTGGATCACGAGGTCAAGAGATCGAGACCATCCTGGTCAACATGGTGAAACCCCGTCTCTACTAAAAATACAAAAAATTAGCTGGGCATGGTGGTGCGTGCCTGTAATCCCAGCTACTCAGGAGGCTGAGGCAGGAGAATTGCCTGAACCCAGGAGGCGGAGGTTGCGGTGAGCCGAGATCGTGCCATTGCACTCCAGCCTGGGTAACATGAGTGAAACTCCGTCTCAAAAAAAAAAAAAAAAAGAAAAAAGAAGGAAAATGCAGGGTGATCAACAGCAGTTTGTGAGCACACACACCTAGGAGGTCCCCAAAGAAGCCGGAAGCTGGGGAGAGTGGGAGGAGGTGCACCCCAGAACTCAGACAGCCGGCCTGGTGGCGGAGCTATCACCTGCCACCACCTTCCGGGACCTGCATCCCAGATGAACTGCATCCTTGGAGGTCCGAACCCACTGGCGCACGGCCGGGTGGGCTTGGCAGTTGCTGGCTGGGGCACATGTGGTAGGTCACAACCTCCTGGTATTCCACACAAGCCACCTGCAGAGGTTCTCCCAACCCTGCCCCACACTGGAGTCCCCGGGCCCATCACAGGAACTGGAAATTAACGGACATTACCCTAGGCAGCTAGAGGGCTTCAATTAGTACAAGGAAACAAAACACATTTTTTAGATGGCTGTCCATTTCAAAGTTTATCCTCTAAGACTGAGCTGTCCCAGGAGACAAGCAACAACAGGCACCCAAGGCATTAGAAAAATGTTTGAAAGCAAAACTAATAACAAAATTGGGTGTAGTGGCGTGTGCCTGCAGAACCAGCCACTTGGGAAGCTGGGGTGGGAGCGTGGCTTGAGCCCAGCAGTTTGATCTGTAGTGAGCTAGGATCGCACCACTGCACTCCAGCCTGGGTGACAGGGCAAGACCCTCAAAAACAAACAAAAAACTAATGACAGAGAGGAGTCCATCTCTCCTTGCCCTTTCTTTCCGTTTATATTTTGTTTTCCTTTGATTTCGGGACCCTCTTTTGGGGGATTTCAGCTGTGGAAACCCAGTGTAGCTGGGTTTCGGGTCCTGGTGAAGGTCTGCGGCTGGAGAGGGCTGTGGGAAGTTTTCAGGGAGGCCTGGCCTATCCGTCTGCTATGGGATCCTGGGAAGGGTGGCTCTCCCATTCTTTGAGAGGAGGTGACAAAGGGGAAGTCTTTGGGCAGCTCGTAGCGGGACGCCAGACCTGGCCTGAGACATCAGGTGCTCGAGGTTATTCGCTGAATGCAGGGTAAGTGACCCCAAGAGGCCTTCGCGGAACAGCCAATCGCTCGGCGTTGGGGAAGGGAGGAAGCCGCAGAGAGGGTGTCTTGACGGAAAGCAGGGTGGGTGCAGGGGAGACGGCGCTTTAACCCTCTCAAGGCCAGAGGCTCAGCCGAGGCTATCCAGGAGGTGGGAACTTGTCCCCCCAGATGACAGATTATGAAACCGAGGGAAGGGGACTCGCCCCCGGCAGTGAAGCGGGATGGACGCCAGGACCAGGTGCCCCAGCAGAGCCGCTCCCAAGCCCAGCTGCGCTCCCACTCAGCCCTCAACCTTTCCCAGCTGGAGAGGAGGGAGGGGCGCCTGCGGATCCCAGGCGGGCGCGGAGGCCGGGCGACTCCCACCGGCTCGCCCCCGCGTCCAGCTCTCCAGCTCGTACCGAGGCCGTTTTCCGCACCGGGAGGGCCCTTCCCGCTTCTGTGCAGGTCCAAATCCTTGCCCTCCCTAAGGCCGGCGCCAACGCCTCCAGCCCGGCAGAGCCCCCTCCAGCCGGCCGCTACCCATCGCTGTCCCCAGTCGCATCCACTCCGGGGCGAGCACCGCCGGGCGCCCCCCCGAAGGAGGAGCGCGACTCGTCCAAGGTCGCGGGGCAGAGCTTGCCTGGGAACCGGCTTCTCCCCGACGACCCCTCTCCAGCCCCGGGACCCGGCCGGGCGGGGCTGCCCTCGAGGGATCCCGGGCCGGGCGCGTAATGCCTGCGAGGCCCGGGGCTCCGGGTCCAGCCGCCGCGCTCCACTTCGGGGCGCAGTTGGGGTGGAGGCAGCGGCCGGTACCGCAGCGCGGGGATCGTGCGCGCACAAATGTCGCTTCCAGAACAGGTGGCCCGGGCTGGGGTCGCTGCCCAGCCCCTCTGCCCGTCGCGCCCCCCCCCCAGCCCCTGCCCTCCCGAGGCGCCCCCTCCCCACGGGGAGCCGCGGAACCCGCCTGGAGCCCCAGCCTGCTGCACCCTCGGCGCAGCCCCACGTACCTCTGGCTCCTGCGGCGGCCGGCAATGGACAGCTGGGGCCCGGGCGTGCTGCGCTGCGGCCGGAGGGCAGGGCCGGGAGCCCGGCGGGAGGCAGCACCGCCCCTCCGGCCCGGGGCGGGGTCAGCACCGCCCCGCCCCGCCTGGCCCGTCCTGCCCCGCGGGTCCCGCTCCCCGGCGCCCCTGCTGGGTCCCCGCACCCTGCCGGCGAGCCCTCGCTGTTCCCCGGGCGGGTGAGGACGGTCCCTGGCCCGGGGGCCAACAGGTAGGCAGCGCTCCCCGGCCTCCCCGCTGCCGGTATTACGAGTTACAAGCCCGTTTTCCCCACTGAACTCATGAGAAAACGGAGGTTCAGAGAGTTGTTAGCTCGATGTCCTGCAGTGGGGAAGGGACGGTGTCACCCGCTGGGACCTGGGTCGGCCGGCTCCCACCGCCCCCTGCCGGGACCGTGCTAAGGGCGTTGCCTGCATCATCCCAGTGTTTACGGAATTCCAGTTATTTGCTGTGTCCTTAACGCCGCCCCGTCCTTTCCCTACTCCTCCTCCTTGCTCTCACCTCGCCCATCTTCTCACTCAGTTGCTGACCCGGTGCTCAAGCCACTGAGAAAAAGGAACCTCTATCCTAGCCCTGAGAAAGAGCCTGGCACTCAATGGGTACCCAATAAATACGCTTCGATTGAAGAAATCAGTAGAAATTCCCACCAGCTCCCCCACGCACCTGCTGAAGTAGCACCCACACTCCCGTCCCTCTTGGGACCAGGCTGAACCCGTCCAGCTTCTAGCCACGACCACCCCCTCCACAAGATCCCGACCCTTCAAGCCAACACTGATCCCGAAACTCTGCCCTCTCTCCGCCCTCCCTGGGTCATTTCCATCACAGGCTGTTGTTACTTCTCCCAGCTTAAAACTAAAACAAGAGGTGGGGCAAGCACTCACTCCTGTAATCTCAGCACTTTGGGAGGCCAAGGCAAGCGGATCAACTGGGGCCAGGAGTTCAAGACCAGCCTGGCTAACAAGGTGAAACCCGGTCTCTACAAAAATTAGCCCGACGTGCTCACTTGAACCCAGGAGGCAGAGGTTGCAGTGAGCCTAGATCATGCCACTGCATTCCAGCCTGGGTAACAAAAGCCAGACTCCAT